AGAGAGACCAATCACCATCAACAAGAGAAACCCAAAGGAAGTAGCCTCTTTTGCCTCTCTAGGCAGCATCGTTTAAACTACAGGCGGCTGCATAGATGAGATGTCGAAGTCAGAATCGGAAAAGCAAGACAGGCGTTCACTAACCTGAAACCAGTGTGAAGATCTTCTGCTCTCAGCATAAAACATGAACAACACCCGGATTTTCAACACCAATTCAGTCAAATCAGTGCTTCTGTATGGCTCACAGACTTGGTGCATTACGAAAAGCATTTCCAACAAACTACAGACATTCATTAACAACTGCCTACACTGGCTCGTTACTGAAGCTCAGATGACCAGAATAATAAGAATAAGCAACAAGGAACTGTGGCTGGTTGGCTGGCAACGAACCAACCAATAACCTATCACCCAACAAATATGCAGAAGGAATTGGAGGTGGATTGGATTGAGTATACACTGAGAAGACCATCGGGGATATCACGCGCCAGGCACTCGAGTGAAACCCAGATTAGAAACGGCGAGTTGGGCGTTCAAGGGTGACATGCAGGAAATGGTGTGAGGAAGAAATGAAAGCTTGTGAGCACTCATGGTGCTAAGTTCAAAAGATTACAGAGAAGAGAGTGGAATGGAGACTTGCTACTGAAGCCCTATGTTCCACTAGGAACCCAAGGGACAAATAATGATAATATTCAGAATGGACATTTTTCTGGAAACTTTTCTCAGCCAGTCGGATGGATATTTGACTCACATTTTTGCGAAACTGCAGAATTTCATCGAAAAAATATGTTTGGTCATACTGGTCTCATAATTTTCAACTTCTCCTCTATACAAAAATCTGTTTCAACATCCCTAGAGAGTATCACTCCCCAACCATACGGGAACACTGAACATTTTAACTGCATGAAGAGAATGCTCCCACCGTTCTTCAGATTTTCAACCTATGTGTGTAGTCAATCACCAGAAAGCTCTACAATCAGACATCTTGACTGCTAACACAAACAATCACTTCACGTAAGTAATCTAGGACTACTGAGATCTGTGGTGAATGAGTAATTTCCCTAAGTTAACCACTGATTAATATAAGTTTGAATTCTCAGAGTGATGTTAATTTCTCTGCACAGCTGCAGATACACGTTGCTGAAAGTATCGATAAGTCTGGCACTGTAAACCTAACTTCGAAGTCTTGGGCTGAGTGAAGAAGAAAATGTATCACCAACCACAATGGACAAAATTTCCTGTCGTTTAGTTAGGTTGGATACAAACTCAGGAGAAGTACTTTAGGTGCTGCCACTGTTCGCATCATAATATTGTTTATGGTCTGAACAAAGCTGTTAAGTATGTTTGTTTTGCCTTCTTGGATTATTCATCGGCCTCTGACTCTCTTCCTAGACCACTCTTGTTAAAATAGCATGCCAAAGCTCATACTGAGCCATGGGTTACAAGGCGACTGTATTCTTATTTTTCTGAAAGGAAGAAGTAAACTGTCGATAACGAGAGGCGCTCCACTTCATTGCATACTGAAGCTGGTGTGCTTCAAGATGCAGTACTTTCTCCGTTTCTGCTCTCATTCTTTTTGCATGATTTACCTTATTCTGTTGAAACTAATTTTATTAAGTATGCTTATGACTTTATGGTTTCTATTCCAATTAACTCTCACTTGGATTGCTCTGAAGTGAATGGATTTTTGAATGTAAGTGACCTATAGTCTCTCCCAAATGGTCTTAAGTTAAACGGTTCCAAATGTCAGTCTGTTAATTTTAGCCTCAGGTGGCATTTCAGCAGAAAGTAAATCCAGTGTTGACTATCTTGGATTGAGTTTCACTGTTGATCTTTGATGGTCGTGTCACATAATATTGATTTGTAAAAATCTTCAGTTTGATGTATTACATAAATAAACTGAGGCTCTCTGGTACAACTCAAACTCCACGTTAACAATTTATTAATTTCTGCATTTTACCCAGTCTTCTACATTATTCACCATCGATCCTTCCTGCTCTTGTAAAAATGAACTGTGTTATGTTCCGTACGGCCTTCAAAGCCATCACAAGGGTAGGGTATGCCTCTGGTTCAACTGATCAACACTATAGTTAACAGACATTTGAATTCTACCAAGCAACTAACTACAGATGTTTCAACTGACACTCACCATCCACTTCATTCACAGCTCTCTCTCTCTCTACATATATCTCCTCAAAGACAATAAACAGAAACTACATAACACTGTACGCTCGTACAACCAAGTACAAGAATTCCACTGTACCTTACCTAGAACGCATATTATGTGAGGAAAATTGTGTTAGAATAGAACTCACATATCACCTTTGTAACAGTTAAGAAACCCATTTTGATGATTCAACTAACAATGTGAAATTTTCTCATCTTTAATGTTCTTTACATTGCATAGATGTTTATGATGAGACAATTGGAAATGTTGTATGTATATGTGTGTGTATATACAGATATATTTTGTTGTTGTTGCGATATATGATGCTGAGAATTTCAAACTGCATCACAAATTGTTTGGAATAAAGTTATTATTATTATTATTATTATTATTATTATTATTATTATTATTATTATTATTATTAGTAGTAGTAGTAGTAGTAGTAGTAGTAGTAGTAGTAATAGTGGTAGTAGTATTACATTGTCCATTCACTGGGTAAGCGGTGAATTGAGTGCAAAAACACTTACCATAGTGAAAACATTTTGCGTGTTTAAAACTGATATCTCAAGAACGGTGACTAAAATCTCTTCTTCAGCTTGAAAGAAATAGCTGATTGCAGTTACTCAACACTCTTCTAACTCACATGCACCATTCAGTTGGAATTTCTACTGTCATCATTTGATTGTAGGCTAATTCACAATGGATATGGGCAGTCGTGGTAAGTGAAGTGGGATCAGCGCTGGTGGGTTGGTCATTGGCAGATGAAATCTCTGCACGGATAAAAAAGGCTCGATTGGGTTTCGCCAACTTACGCCACCTGTGGCGCCGCCATGATGTCCAATTGTCCGTTAAGGGTCGCGTGTACTGCACAGCAGCCCACTCTGTTCTACTCAATAACTGTGAAACATGGCCACTGAAGATCAAACACATGAGAAGGCTTCAAGTGTTTGACCACCATTGCCTTCGTAGTATAGGTCGCCGTATTCCGTGATGTCACCACCTGAGTAACGCAGAAGTCAGGTGTAGAGTTTCAGGGAGAAGAGGTAAATCAGTTGACGAGGTTGTGAACCTTCATTAACTGAGATGACTGGAGCATGTGTTATGTATGCCTAGTCGCCGATTGCCTCGTCATACAATGTTGACCAAAGTAGGTCAGGACTGGAAAAATGGTTGGGGTGGCCACACTGAAACATGGCATTAATGTGTAAAGTGTTTGACTGTTAATTTGAGCCATATGAGGCGATGCAGACTAGTCGGTTGGAGTCCGTGGGACATGAGGAACCAGTGGTTGGAGACTCTAGGTGATGGTATGGCTGAGAACCGATGTCAGTGGTGTAGATATATGCACACATTATCCACATTTTAACGATGCTATACCGAATCTCACCATTTTCTCATTCTTCCTTTTTCTCTTTTCGTACTTCATATTTCTTCTGACTGAATTTTCTTATTTTGACCTTCCAGTTCCCTGCGTTTTTACTTGGTATACTGATCTGGGGTGAAGCAACTCGGACCGTTACGCAGTAATGCCTGGTCCTAGGTTGATCTGGATGGATAGATGAACTGTTCTCCATTCACATCTTAGATAAATATTTCCGTTTACAAAACAATATTAGTGTTCGATACATGCTCACCAATCTGTATTAGTGAATTTTATTTACCTGTACATTGTGAAGATACTATCGTTTCTACTAACCTGGTACTTTAGTGGACACAATGAACCACTTAAAACTACGCTTGTAATACTCAGTTATGAACTGTGTCAACACCTAGATAGATTGTACAATTCTTAGGTACCAAATGGTTGAATGTTGCTAACTAGGTTGGAGCAATATGCCTTTAAGTAGACGGTGAAATAGTAGTAGTGGTATTACTATTATTATTAGTAGTAGTAATAGTAATAATAGCCCTGGTCAAAAGATTTCAGTGTTTATTCTTTTATTTTTTTTCCACATAGTTAACGCCCTTATTAGGACATTAGGTGAGTGAAGGAAAATCTTTAATGAACTCAAACATTAGAATCATGTGATCCATTTTTTTTTAAGTAATAATTTGTGCATATGTGTATTTAATCAAAATGAGATTATATGTTTCTATGTGGGCGTTTGTGCAAGTGAACATATACACATATGTATAGGTGCAATTAATTAGATTTACTGGAAGACACTGAAGACACAGTAAGAAATAAGTATACGATCTACTCCGGTATGTACACATGATCAAATCTGAAGTAAGCGTAAAAATTCAAGGATAATTATTTTGAGTAAATTTATGATTGGTTCAATAAGTCTATGTGTAGACATATGGAAAAATTGAAATATATACACACACACAGTTATAAACTTATGTACACGTACACGTGAGAGAAAGCTAACTCAGGTATACAAGATTGGGATCTGTAGAGCAATATTTCATTTCAACCGATTTACAGTTAGATCACTCTTCATTATAGTCTTTCTATTCAAGTTCAATCACTTCAAAGATATTTCTCCTATTCACCAGTGAAGAAAACTTATATCCTTCTTCGGTGTAGTGTAATTTCCCTTTTCCACTCAAAAAAAACAACCTATTTACGTCTCTTTCCTTATATTAAACAATAACATTAATTGTACACACAATTTTCGAATGAATTATGAAAATATTCTTTCCATTATACATTAGATTTGTTTATTATTAAGAAGCAATTCAAAAGTTATCACAACTAATTTGTTTATCGCTTGTTGAATATTGAACAGCATACATATATATATATATATAAACAAATCAAGTTGAATTAAATTTGTGTAATGCATCAGTTGTCAGATAATAATTCATTCATCTCATTTGTAATTACAAAATGTCTATGAACAAATCTAATAAATCAGCGTGTTTACCAGCGAATAGTAAGTTGAAATATAATTGTTCCTAAAAACTTTGCCTTTATTCGTAGTAGATAACTATTTTTATTAGTATGCTGTAATCCTTGAAGGTGAGCTGACAGGATTCAAAGTGAAAGTGTGCGGAAATTCTGTCCTGAACTATGAAACCTGGCTGCTGACAATATCTTAATTTTGCTTACATCACTGAGAGTCTTGCCTTGGTGTCATGGAAGTGGATGATGCTTAACAGTCCGCTAACCGGAGGGGTCTTTGTCCCAATCCAAGGAAAGCTGAATTACAAAGGGTCAGCGTTGTAGATAACCTGGAATAAGCGTATCGACAACAGGAGATTGTTAAAAAGTGTTGACTGGATCCTTGTGAGCATTTTGCAATGTGGCCATAAGACTAGGTAGTTGACCATTGCGGTGCACTTTGATGGATGTTAGTTGGTTGGAGATAATCCGCAAGAAGCCCTGGGCGTAGATTTTGCACTTCTTAACACTCATCTGCAACGCATATCAAAAGCCTTGAGACAACTCATTTCCACCCTGAGATTCGAACCCTTATCGATAGGCAATACAGTGTGAGGTTATAAACATGGTTGTCGAATAATACAGCAAAATAATCTGGACGTACTACATGCAGTGAAATAAAGTCAGCGAACAAGAAATGCATACAGACATCTGGAAAGAATTGGTATGACTCATGGAGACGTTCAAAATATGTACCTTCTCCATACTATGACGGATAGTAACAAAGTGTTTCAATAAGATGAACAAAGTATTACGTAATAAGGTTAGAAGATGGATTATTTGAAGATAATTTACAGACAAATTAGACAATAATATAATAGTTTGATTTACTAAGAAGAAAGAGAAACAGTAAACTGTTGCACTAATGTAAAAGCATTTAGTCAGAAGATAATGTCATCAATTAAGACGAAAGGAGAAATATTAGGTGATCAGAGTGAAGAAAGACTGATAGCCTTTCCTTTTGCAACACATTATTTTGAGTTCAGATGTTTTATAGCCACAGTTTCTGAAAGAAAGTTGAAGTACCTCAGATTTTGTGAACATATGCTGGTCAGCCTATGATTAAGGGGAACAAAGCCTTTCAGTGTTGTATTCGTCCAATATCTTGTCTACGTAGGTTATATACTAGATCCCCAGAAAACTATAAATTAACGAAGTAATCTAAATTTTCTGAAGTTTGCAGAAGCCAGAAGCATAAGTAGCAATGATCAGTTTTTATTCACCTAGGTCACGAAATGTTTTGGATTTTGGATAAATAAAGCATAAATAGTAGACGAGAAGCTTTTCGTTTAATTTCATTCTGTCTTTGACAAAAAAAGAGTAATATGTGAAACCTCTTAGAAACTATCAATCTATATATAATTAGTCTAAATCAAGTTGGAATTTAAGCTCCATTTCTCAGATCAAAATTTCATATTTCAATGCAGTGCGTTAGTCGAAATCGTGGAGCGACATAAATTGAATCTCCGAGATTTGTAGGTTAAGAAAAGAGAAAGAGAGAGACTGAATTAAAAGACTCCTCAAACTAGGCTACAAGGCCAATCAGTATTTATCTTACATATGAAATCAATCCATTTTCTTCCATACTACTAAAATAAATGTACTTTAATGTATTTAAGTTTCCACTTAGTAGATGAATTCGTTCACAAAGTCCAAGTGAATTATTTTGCATATGGCTTTTTCAAAAAAATTTTTCAATGAGGAACAGTTCCCGTAGTCACATCAGGAGGACAACCGAAAACCTCTTCAAGGCCGTTTTTTACTGACATAACCACCCTTTTATTGGTAAAAGAAATACAATGTAGCTCATTGATTTTTCATTGATACTATTAGTAATAAAACATCAAGGTCAGAGAAACAATATATATATATATGTATATATATTGACCACCGTTTATTGAATACGTGTTATTTTGGTTGCTAGGTACTCAATTTTTGTTCATTGATCCAAATAAAATGAAACTTTACAGTCTCTGTTTATCACGAAATCGAATTCATAGTCAATGCATCATGCTTCAAATATCCAAAAATCCCTAGGCAAAAAATCTCCTGCTTATTTCTAGGAGTAATTTATTCTTAGAAGTCTCTATTCTCCTCCAGTATGCTACAAGTGTTTCAGCACAAGGAGGTTCAAAAATGAGTTATGCGAGGTGATGAATGAATGAAAGAGAAATACCTAATAACGGTCCACGTAACAGGCTGTTGGATATAATTTCCATGCAGGTTCTAGGTCTTTCAGGCTAGAGTAATGGCTTGTATTCACAGATCTAGGATACTGGACTGGAGCCTCATAATTCAAATTCATTGCGGTGCACACAGCTAGATTCAAGTTTTAGTGTGCCATACATTTTAGCGTTTTATTCTGGTCACTTGAAGTACGTGAATACATGCTGTCTTTACTTCATGATGCAGATATTTAACCGTTCTGAGCAGTGATCAGTATGTGAACAAAAACACCCTGGGACCCAAAACAACATGTTGTTGTTTCTTAGGCCTTGAAAGGATGTCGAAAGAATTTGGTAATACTTTGTATTACGGGCTAGCTAGTCAGAAGTCACAGAACTAGGAGTTTTGCTAGTCGGAATTCATCACTTAGGCAACTGTGAAAATATAAGAAAAGTCATTTTGCCTGTCACAATCGAATATACGTCGACTGAAAAGTAAGAAATAGCTGACGCCACCGTTGTATAATTCATCTCAGTAGCTTTGGTGAATATTCGCGGCTTGACAACTTCATCAAACAGAATAGTATAACAAATTTCATGTCTTCAGATAAATTTGTATGCTACTACAGTGAGATTTAAATAAAAATGTCTTATATTGCTCAACTGGTCTGTCGAGAGGGTCTCTCAAATGAGTTATTGTAAAGAGCCTGTTGAAAGAACAAGATGAATGCTGTATACTTAAACCTATGCGTGAATGACCAGCTTACCACACTCTACGTAAAAGTAAGACAAATTATGAAGTATGACTTCATAGTGAAGTTAGTGCTGATGATGTCATCCACAAAGAAGAAGAAAGGTTCACGATTAAACAACCCAGCTCAGAGAACACAATTATTATTTATTATTTGTCCCTTGGGTTCCTAGTGGAAAATACAGCTTTAGCAGCACGTCTCCATTCCACTACGTTCTCTGAAAACTTTTCAACCTGTCGCCACGACTGCCCAGAAGCTCTCATTTCTTACTCACACGATCTCCTCCATGTCACCCTCACCTCGACGCCCAACTCATCGTTTCCCATTTGGGTCCCACTCTAGTGCTTGGCCTGACCTGACATGATGTCCCCGAATGGTCTTCTCAGTATACGCCCAATCCAATCCACCTCCAATTCCTTCTACATATTTGTTGGGTGACAGGTTATTGGTTGGTTCGTTGCCAGCCAGCCACAGTTCTTTGTTGCTTATTCTTATTATTCTGGCTATCTGAGCTTCAGTAACGAGCCAGTGTAGGCAGTTGTTGATGATTATCTGTAGTTTGTTGGAAATGATTTTCGTAAGGCACCAAGTCTGTGAGCCATATAGAAGCACTGACTTGACTGAATTGGTGTTGAAAATCCGAATCTTGTTCTTTGTGCTGAGTGCAGACGATCTCCACACTGGTAAAGAACACAATACAACCAAGATATTGGAGTGGCCACCATTGGTAACCTATCCTTGGTTTACTGTGTCAGCAATGGTTTGTTTGAGAAGCTAACAGAACGTTTCACTTCAGGGAATGTCGTTTCGATTTATCTATTAGATACCTTCAATAATATTCATCCAGCTATAAAGAAGAAAAAGGTGGGTAGTATTTTTTTTAGTAGATGTTCTCCTCATCAGGAAAACAGGTGAATTTAATAATAGGAATATCTTTTGATAGAATATATGAACTGGTCAATATATTCATTTTCATAGCTTCACGCCATTGTAATGTAAAAGAAATCTGGTCGAATAGCTGAGCTATAGAATAAAAAACATATATTCTCATGACTATATTGAAAAAGAAATGAATAAGCTGAAGATAACATTCCAGCTAAAACGTTATCCACTAAACTTCATAAATCAATAATTGCGGAGATGTAGAGAGATGATAAAGAAAGATAACGTTGTCATGAAGCCTTTACGTCTTAGACTAAGGCTGATAGGTGATATCTCCTCTGATATCTTAAAACACCAACTAAGTAGATCAATCTAGAGGATATTCATTGCAGCGAAACAATTTGCCAGATTCACAACTAACCAAGGAAACATTACCAATAAGTGTCACTTCAGCATGCATTCATAAAATTCAACTGCTTCTGTTGAACTAATTACATGGCGCGTACTCAAAGGTCACTATGCACAGGCGCTCATGAACAAGTAGAGAACACAGAAGAGGACATCCAACGAAAGAAGCATACAAAATCAAATGAAAGAGATAAAGGACTTTGCATAGCTCTTAGAGATGGGTAGAGAATAATTCCAAGTGTAGTTTTGAGATCATTTTTCCTTCACGTCGATTCAACACTGGGTGAAGCATTCATACTGGACAGTAAAGTTGTAGCTTCATGTTACACTGCTTATTTGATACAGTAAACATTGATACATTATCTTTTACTAGATGAAGTAACATTGATATGATTGTGAGTTATAGACTATGGTCGAAACGTCATCCAGTGAATAATACTGTAGTACTACTTACTATATGAACCTCGCCTGGTTAACTAGTTTACTAGTTACTAGCCGGTCCTAAGCCCGGGTAAAGAGGGAAGGTTGGGCATAGGGCTAGCAACCCTACCCCGTAAAACAAATCTAACCGCTAAAGAAACTTCAAAGCACAAACAAAATATAAAAAATGAAAACAAACTTATTCCCCGCTGGAATCGGAGAGGCGAAATGACGCCAGTTGGTGAAAGCCTGCCTTCGGGAAGCCAATTGGCCGATGTCTCTTCTCTCCCTCGATGAAAGCGAAAGTAAACGTGGGGACATGGAATGTCCGCACCATGTTTGAACCCAGTAAGGCAGCCCAGATT